TGGGTCTGGCTAATCAAGGCTTGGCTGTGCAATGCCCAAATGTACACACAGCACAGCTGCCCTCCCCCTGGGAAGAGGCCCACACCCCATGCTGCCACTCACGAAGACTGCCTGAACTCCAGACCCCCTGCCCACCTGGTCTCATGTTATCACAGACCCTCAATGCAGTAACATAAATCTGCTCAAGAGGAGGCCAGAACCAACCCTAAGGCAGCAGAATGACATCTAATGTCACCTAAGGATACCTCCCCCAACACTCTTGGTGGAAGAGGGCCTTGGGGACCAGGGACTGACGTGGACCTTGGGATAGGCTGGAGGGGGGCAGGAAGATTCACACTTATCAACCTTTATTGCCCTGGGCCTTGTGTCCCATCCCTGGGTATCACAGACACAGGTAGTGCCACAAGCAGGGCATGTCCATGGGTGACCATGCCCCAGAACCAAGAGCTGTCAGTGTCATTGGGTGGAGAGGTGGGGCTGATGCCATGAATAATGCTTTCTTAAGCCCTTGCCTGTCCACTTTACTCTTGGCCTCCCTTGGCTTGCCTATTACTACACATGGCACCACCATGGGCTACTGCCTCACCTGAACACCTATGGGCTGCCCTCAGCCATGAAGCCCATTCAAGACCACTTCTCTGAGATTCCTGGCCTTTCTACTTCTTATACCTCCACAAACACCACTTTCCCCTAAGTCTCTGTTCACCTTTTCCACCCTGAACAGCCCTGGTGGCCTGCCCTCACCCTCTTACAGCTCTCTCATTCAGCAGCCAGAGATATCTTTCTAGAAGGGAGACCCCATTTTTGGTGCTGTTCTTCCCAAGACCTCCTGGGTCACCCTTGTGCTTTACCTCGACCATATCTGCAGATGTGGGGGACAGGAGCTTTGGGTGGGGACAAGTACACATGCCACCTATGAGAGCAGTGGTGATCTGGAGGAAGAAGGAGGGTGCTGCTGTCTCAAGGGTTGAGTGGAGGTGGAGAGCTGTGAGCAGGCCCATAAAGCCGTGGGAATGGAGAAGAGGCCCGGATGGAATGCAGGCACAGGCGATACACAGGAGGAGGAAGGTTCTGGAATACAGATGTGGAGCAGAGACCCATGACCAAGCTCAGAAGCCACTAGATGGAGGGTCACAGAGACCCCCACTCAGGACAGCTGCAGCGGTATGTGCAAGCATGTTGAAGGGAACCTAAGGAGGGGCTGTGGAGACATAGGCTGCAAGGGCTGACTTTAAGAGCCAGTTTCTTGGCAATGCATCTGTCACTCAGGGATGATACTGAGGCCCCTGTCCCACTCCAAGCTCCTGTCCACTTCAGAGGGCAGTGAGGGCAAGGACCTTTCCTTAGAGGATGGTCAGACTAGGTGGCCATGTGGCCACAGGCTGCTCTGCTTCACAGGGAAGCAGCCATTGGGGAACCTGGTTAAGTCTGAAGCTGGTTCTACCCTGAAGGGTGGGGGAGGACTAAGGCCACGGAACACTCAGCTAGGGCCTGCCACGTCTGTCCTTCGATGAGGGGCCCCTCCCTAGCTCTTCCTCCTGTCTTGCCCTGTATGGAAGAGGACCAGTGTTTCCCCTGGGACCCACTGGGGCTCTGGCCCATCTGCACTTCTGTGCTGGCAAATGCAGAAGAATTAGCTCAGCAACTTCCTCCCCCTAATCCCCCACCCCCACTCTAAATACCTTGGAATCAAGAGAAAAGCCGAGTGGACATTTGGAGCCTAATTCTCTTCAGCTGTGTGTGCGTGCGTGCGTGCGTGCGTGCGTGCTCTCGGGAGCAGAGGCTTGCACGGGAACCTTTTGAACCCCAAATGTTAAGAGCTGGAGGGAGCACAAGGAACGCTAGTCCAGCCCCCGGATGACATAAACCAGACAGAGGAGGACAAGACCTGCCCTCTGTCACATGAGAACCCAGGCAAAGGCCACCAGGTACCCAGGCTCTTTGTCTTGTACCTATCCCTGCAGTTCTGAGCCCTGGTCTCAATGATGTTCATAACCATTATGCCCCCAGGCTGGCCTGGGATTAGAAAGGACCTACTTCAATGAAGGGAGGTCATCATTCTCCTGGTGCCCCAGGCTAACGCCACCCCTCCTCACACCGCCTGGCAACTCTCATCTGCCTTGGGGCTTCCTGGAGTCCACCCAGCCTCATGTGCCACTCTAGCCAACTCCCACATGTTTTTTGTCTCTTGATAAAACAACAGACCCCTCTCAGTCTTGGCCTGTTTTCTTCTCTGGGTTCCCCCAAAGGACTAGAGGGAGCTGGGGTGGGGGTACGCAACAGGTGAGCTGAGCTGGCCAGCAGTGCTAGCTGATTGACAGCACCCCATGCACGGTGAGGGGGTGAGCCTCGGGGGCCAAGGGTCTCGTCTGGTGAGCCCATGTCCCAGACAACAGTGACAGTCTCCTTGGCCTGCAAGTCACTTCTAAGATGACCAAAGGAGACTTCAAGCAAACATAGGAAGGCGCTGTGCCCACAGAATTTCATTGCGAGTCTGTTAGGGTAGAGCCAAGGGCCCACAGTCTCAGGGTTTGAGGTTACAGACTGAGGCAGGGACGGAAGCAAGATAGTAACATGCCAATAAACACTGATGAATCTGCCATTTGTGGGATGTATCCTCAGCTGGGAATACAATTAGAACCCAAATCTTATTTAACATAAGATCAAATAAACTCAATTTTTATGATTTCAAAAATTACTTCTTGGAGGAGATGGGAAAGGAAAGAATGGAAAGGAAAGGAAAAATTCTGAGAAAAGAAAAACAATGGAAATGAAGTCTATGTAAATAGGGAAGGGTGGAGGGTTGAAGAGTGCACAGGTAATGGGGAAAAAATAAGAACCAAGATGCATCATGTACAGGTACAAGCACCCAATGATATATGTAAATGTATTTTATACCTAAAATGTACCAATAAAAGAATTTAAGCAAAAAAAAAATCACTTCTTAAAATACCCATTTGTCACTCTTTACTTGGAGGGTGCCTTCTGTTTGTTTTTTCTGGTACTGGGAATTGAACTCAGGATCTTGCGGTTGCCAGGCAGGTGCAGCACCACTGAGCTACATCCCTGGCCCAGTGCCCACTGTTTTAAGTGACCTCGTTTTAGGTATTGTTCACATTCTTGAATAAGACAAAATAAAACAAAAAATTTGAGAGATAACTCTACATCCACGAGTGAGTTTAGAGGGTCAGCCAGGGCACTTCCCCACCATGCAGCTTACAAAAGCTACACAGGAGCTACAGTTTCTGAGCAAGAAAAATGCCCACAACATTTTGAAAATACATCTTTTCAATGGAAATTAAGTGCCAATAGGCAGGGAGTTTTGTTTTGGTGAAATCTGTGTATTCTCATGACCCATAGCTCCAGCAAAGCACCTTCCTGAGCAGGCAGGGAAACAGAAGACTATGTAAACCAAAGCTCCAAGCCCCACTGTGCCATCAGACTTCACTTTCAAAACCCAAGTTCAAAGATGAAATGATTAAGAATATTAAGATGGTTTCTGCCACCTGCCCCACAAGCGCAAGGACCCGAGTTTGATCTCTGGTACCGAAAAAAAAAAAAAAAATTTCAAGATGGTGAAAGTAAAGCATCAAACCCCAAATGTAGGTCTTTCCTGAGCACAGGGCCCTGAGGGATTGCTTTGGCTGCACATCTGCATCTGGGAAAGGTGGGTGACAAAAATCCCAGCTAGGTGGTTAGGGGAGGATGAGCCTTCTAAGTTAGATATACCAGTCTGAAGGTCCCTGGGCCAGCCTAAAGGGGACAGAAGATGTGTCCTCCAGGCTGGCAGGAGGCAGAAGAAGACCAAGCTAGGGATCACTTCTGAAAGTCAGAAAGAAGTTCTTGATGCCTGAAAAGATGACACCATTTTCTCCTCTTTCCTCCAGGCTGAACAACAACAAAAAAACCCAGGCCCAGTCACCCTTGCAGAGAGAGATTCCTGGCTGTTTTTGTAGACATATATTTTCGGCAAAAGCAGTTGAGATGAATGGCCTCCTTGCATGCCTCTGGTGACGGGACGGCCTGCTCGCTTGGCTGGCTCCAGCCTCCCTCTTCCTCCTCCCTTGTCTGAAGTCAGTCCTGGGTTGGGGTGTAACAACTTTCAGAGCAGACCCAGAGTTCTGCATTCTTCAACTGCTTGTTCAATTTGCACAGGAAGTCCAAACTGCCCCCAGACTTTCTGGTGAACCCGCAAAAACCCTGTGAAGACAGGTTTTTTTGGCTTTGGCTTGTGGGTTTCTCCAGCCTTCACTGCAATGCCTGGCACGCTGGAGATGTAGCAGCCATACAAATAAATAGATAAATGCATGCATAGGACGAATGAATGCACAAACATATGAAAGCAAAGTCAGACACAAGCCCACCTCTAGGGCCAGGAATAATCACAATCAAGGGTAGAGATGTTTGGGGTGACTCAGCTGGGTGACTGAGGTAGGTCGCTGCGGCACATAGTAAGACAGTCCTAGGACCTTCTTCGCTGGCTATTTGTACAGCAACAACTATGGCGGGCTTAGCAGAGTCTTGGGACTTTAGGAATGTCTCTGTCATGGGCATAGATATGACTAGGTGATATAATCTTCTGCACACCTAGTCCAGCCAGGGAGGAAGGCCCCTGATTTGGGCCATGGTTCCTTTCAGAAGTACCAGCCAATCTCACCTAACAGGATCAGGGATCCATAACTGGAGGGCCCTTCTCAGGTCACGTTTCTCCCTGGGGTGATTGGTATACAAACGTGCGCACGCGCGGGGGTAGGGTGGGAGGTGGCAGGGGAGCCACCCTTGGACCCCAGGGCTAGTGGACAGGGTGGGGCATGGCATGTGGTGCCGGGACTCAACCGGGCACCCCGAGCCCTGGCAGCATTTGCACCGCCCCCTCCCGACCAATGACAGAGCGCGGCACGTCGCCTTCCTTCCACGTCCAACCAATCCGCGCGGCAACTTGCTGAACGCCAGCCCCTGTGGGCCAGTCCAATCAGCGTTGGGGTGGCTGCCACGTCAGGGCTGTTGAGATTAGGTGGCTGCGGCAGTCGCTGGGCAGAACAGTTGCCGCGTCCCTCAGTGCCGCTCTCTAGGCAGCAGCCTCCTTGGCGCTCCGGGCTGGTCAGAGTGTAGCCGCACTAGAACCGGCCGCGGCAAAGGACGGGATCGCAGTTGGCTGAGGTGAGCTCTGGGTCCGTGTCGGGGTCTGTCTGGGCGTCGTGGCATCCGTCAGTGGCTCGGAGAGGGGAAAGGGTGCAGCTGGGGTCGGGGGTCTTGGGGGCCGAGTTGGGACCGGAGTCGGATATGGAGTTTGCCTAATGGTTTCGAATTCCGGGGCCATGTTTGGACCAGTCTCGGGGCTGCGGTCCATCTCGTGGTTTCGAGTCCGTGGTTTCGAGTCCGAGTCTGAATTGGGACCCGTCTCCGGTCTGGAGTCTGCCTCGTGGTTCCAAGTTCAGGGACTGAGTTAGAACCGGTCTTGATCTTGGGTCTGGAGTTTGCCGTGTGGTTCCAACACTGGGACAGAGTTAAGATCCAAGTCCAGTAGAAATCCACCTCGTGGTTCTGAGCCGAGACTGGAGTTGGGTCTGGGTCTACCTCATGGCTTTAAGTCCACCTCGTGGTTTGGAGGCCCGCGAGCTGGGATCCCAGTGGGGGTGGGGAAGCCACCTCCCGGTTTTAAGTCTGCTGAGTTGGGATCTGAGTTGAGTTTGGAGTCCGCCTCATGGCCTGAGGTCTGGGGCCTGGGATGGGAGCTCCATGGAGTTGGATGTCAGCCTTGAGGTTCTCCGCGGGCATTCAGTAGGGGTTTTGGAATCCTGGCAGTGGTTCTGAGTCTCAGGTCTAAGTCTGGGATGGGGGTTAGGATCTGGTGTCTGCTTTTTTTTTTTTTGGTACTGGGGATCGAACTCGGGTCCTTGCGCTTGCGCAGCAGGCGGCGAAACCACTGAGCTAAATCCCTGGCCTGGAGTCTGCTTTTGAGTGGGGTTCTGAGTTGGAGGTCTGAATTGGAGTTGGGCTTAGGATCCTGAGTGGGGATTCCAGACTGGAATTAAAGTTGAGGTTTTGGGTATAGGTTGGGATTTGAAGTGGATGAAGTAAAGGGCCTGGTTCTCCGTGTGGGGATCACCCTCTGGATGAGGGACAGAAGCAGGGAATAGAAAGAAATCTTGGTCATAAGTGAATCAGAGTTGAATGAAGGGGGGCTATGATTCAAATCTCAGCCCTCTACAGTGGACCCTTGAGTTACAACCGGCCTGACATATGAACAACTTGGGTTTCAACCATAATTTTAGTTTTAATTTACGACCCAAGTCTTGAGTTACAACCCAAATGCCAGCCACTTGTGCTTCCAGATGGTCTCAGATACAGATTTAACCCTTAAAGAGTTCTGGAAAGGACATTACAACATCCTTTCCTGTATGCGGTTAACTGAGAAATCCTGGGCCAATGTCTCTCTAAGGACATTGAGGTCTGCCTGGATACAGGAGAGAGAATTTGTAGGCTGTGTAGAGGAGACTGAGCCTTGGATTGACCAAGTTGAGTTACAACCAGCCCTCTGGAACTCCGTCTGTAAGTCAAGGGTCCACTGTACTTTGTCTATCTCCCTCCGCCCACAGGTCAAATGGCCTTTTCTGTGAAAAGAGGACTGGAATGCTTCCCTATAGGACTGTTCTGGGTCTCCTGAGACAGAATAATTCATCTAGATAGAGTATTTCTATGTTAGATTATTACAAAAGTTTTCCTAATAAAATTAGCCACATTTGATATACATTTACCAGTCTCTTTCTTCAATGTGTAACCTTGCTAGACCAGGAGCTCCCAAAGGAGGAATCTTTTCCTGTCCTGGCCTCTGCCCCACACCCAGCCAAGAGCCTGATACACAGCCTTGTTCAGGCAATACTTATTGAAGGAAAGCAGGCAGGCAGGATTAAGCAGATTTCTATGGTGTCTCAAATGATCCCTTTCTGCACCTGTTTTCCAGATACTCACTAGGAGAAAAATTTAAGGATTGGGTTGCTTGATTATGGTTCTATTTTAATGTGTTTCCAAACATGCTGAAGAGAAAAGTGGATCTGTTTCAGGATTTATGCTCCAGCTAGAAGGATCTTTGCAAATTGTGAATCAGAGCATGTCCAAATTCAAATAAAGAAAGCACAAAAAAGGAAAATTATGAGCCATTTCCCTGATGAACATAGATGCAGAAGTTCCACGTACAATGTTAGCTAACTGAATCCAACAGTATATTAAACAACAATTCTTCTTAAACAAGTGGGATTTCTCCTTGGAATGCAAAGATGATCCAATATCAGAAACCCTATCTGTGTAATTCACCATATTAAGAGACTACGGGAGAAAACCCATATGGTTCTCTCTATAGAGGCAGAAAAATTACACAATAAAGTTTAACGCCTATGCATGATTTTTGGGAGTGAGCTGGGAGGACACCGCTTAGCAAGCCAAGACTAGAGGGAATTTCCCTAACTTGATACAATTCATACACCCAAACTTAACCTTTCAGGAAACTTAACACAGAAATCCAAAGTATAGTATTCCCTTTAAAATAAGGATTAGGTCAAGGGTGCCATCTCCTAATGTGAGAAAAATAAAAGGGAGATGTGAGGGTCTGGTAGGAAGAGAAAAAACTTTGTAACTCACAGATCATTTGTCTTTATCAGGGTTCTCAAACATTTTGCTATAAGGATACTTTGTACTCTTAAAATTATTGAGGCCCCCAAAGAGTTTTTCTTAATAATGGCTTGGGGCCGGGGATTTAGCTCAGTGGTTTCGCTGCCTGCTGCGCAAGCGCAAGGACCCGAGTTTGATCCCCAGTACCAAAAAAAACCCACTTAATAATGGCTTATATCTATTGATATCTACATTTCTGGAAATTAAAACTAAGAAATGCTTAAAATATAGGATGGTACAAGCATGTGTTCCGGTGGGGTCATGCTGCCTCTGGAACACTCTTTAACCTTGTGAGAGTGAAAGTAAAGGCAAATGATGTCCGAGTATTACTATGAAAATAGTTTTGACCTTTCCTGGAAGGGTCTGGGTGGGCTCTCTGCTATCCCAGACTGCCTTTGAATACTGCTGAGCTATGTGAAAAAAAAAAATGACGAAGAAGAAACTTTTACAACTAACAAGATTTTGGCAAAGTTTTGGGTATAAGATCAATGTACCAAAACCAAGCAAACAAACACCCCCCCCCCCATTTATGCCAATAATGATTAAAAATGTAGAATAGAGATTAAGATAGAAATCAGAATAACAACAAAATTTATACCAGGTTTTAAGAATGAACAAATGACTTTTATGGAAAAAATTAAAGGATAAAAGAAGATCTTCCTGACATGCAGAGATACTCCATTTTCTTAGATGGAGCAATTTAGCATTACAAAGATGTCAAGATTTTCCAAACTTGTAAATTCTATAGGACTCCACTTACACTTCCAGTTAGAGGTTTTGAGGAACTTCACAGATGTTCCTCAAAATGTACATGGAAGAAAAAGGTACAAACACCAAGCAAACTTTGAAAAACAGCTCTCCAAGCCTCAGCAATCAGAATGGTGTGGTGACAGAGCCCCAGAGGCAGCTCGAGTCTAGAGGAAGGTGACATATGATAAAGGTGGCACCACATATCAACAGGGCTATAAGAAGTTGACTTTGGAAAACTAGTAAAATAGAAACAAATACAATTGTGGATTCCTACCAGAGCCCCTAGTAAAAGTGAGCTCCAAATGGACTAAAGATTTAAAAGTAAAACGTAATTGATTTGTGTTTGATAGGAGAAAACTACGAAGGGTAATCTTTTGGCTTAGGGTGGACTTGGGGGTCTTTAGCTGGACCCAGAAAGCACAAACCTCAAACCTAAAATTTATAAACTTAAAATTTATGCAAATTAAGGATTTCTGTGAAACAAATCCATCATAGCAAAGGTCACTATATTCTTAATACTAAGACACGGTTGCCTTTTTCATTTTCACTCATGAGTATAACTTTGCCCATGACTGATAATAAGACATTTGAAACAACTAAAGTTGATCAGAGAACAACAGCTAACACAGGAGAAGCAGGCCCTGCAAACCAGTAAGAAAAAGATAGGAAGACTGGCAGTTTGCAGGAGGGCTAACAAATAGATGAGAATTTTCCAGAGCTCCTGTCATCAGAGAAATGCAAATGTAAGTGATGACTCTTCCTCATACAGCAAAGCATTAGAGAATGGGCTAAGGCCAAGTGTTGGCAGAGGGCACGAACAGCCTCTCTGTGTGCTGCAGATGGGAGTCAGGGCAGGCACGGGCTTTCTCGAGAGCCAGCCAGTGCTTCTTCCGCAAATGAAATATTTGATACCTGCAGCTCAGCAGTTTTCCTCCAGAGTAAACATATTGGAGCAGCTCCCCACCCCCACCCCACAACGAGGGGCTGTGCAGGGGCTGGGTGCACACTTGGTGCAGGGTGGTGGTGGTGGGGCCGTCACAGCCCCTGTTGGGATAAAAGATGTGCACTTCACAAGGTAGAGATGTCGACGTGTGGAAACACAGTGCTGAGTGACACAAACACCAAACAGAACAAGGACCTCAGTACACGACTGTGTATTTAAATCAGAATTACAAACCATCCAGACACGCAGTACCAGGGCAAGTGCACACACACACTGATATAAATAAATTACTCTGGAGCAGCTGTGGGGGGGTGGAGCAGGACTGCAGGGTGGGGGTGGAGTGGAAAAGCATGGAAAGGAACAGTGTGGTGCCCTTGTGCAGACCCTCCCAGGGTTCCGGCAATTTATGGGCTGAGGGCCACGATCGGCTCTGTCCTTCACAGCAGAAAACCCCTAAGCCAAGAATGAAGGAATGAATGTGTGCCCATCACTTTCCTGCCAGACACCCTCTAGTGGCTTCTATTTCTAGGAAATGAAATTTTGATTTCATGAGGTTTTTACAAGATCTGCCCTCACTCCCTCTCTGCCGCTGCCCTCCTCCCTCACTGAGCTCTGGCCACACCGCCCTTCTGTTGTTAAGTCAGTCAAATATACCTCATACCTCCGAGCCTTGCACCAGCCACCTCTACCTGGCTTGCCCTTTCTCATGATCTTCCCATGACCATTTCTTCTCATCATTTAGTGCTCACTGGAAATGCTGCTTGTCAAGGAGGCCTTCTTTGACCTGCCGCCGTATCAG